ATTATCACCAGATACTTCAAAAACAAACCACAGTTCTTTGAACAATGGCAACCTTATCGTGAGGAACTATTATGTTATCCTGTCAATGGGTGGCTGAACAAACATTGTCTACACAACTCATGATGATAGTGGCAACCCTTGCAATAATGAGTGGTTGAACAAACAGTATCTACACAACTCATGATGATAGTGGCAACCCTGGCGGTAATGTGTGGCTGAACTAACAGTGTCTCATCAGTTCATGAGGATAGTGGCTACCCTTGCGGTAATGTGTGGCTGAACTAACAGTGTCTACACAACTCATGATGATAGTGGCAACCCTGGCAGTAATGAGTGGTTGAACTAACAGTGTCTCCACATCTCATGATGATAGTGGCTACCCTTGCGGTAATGTGTGGCTGAACTAACAGTGTCTCCACATCTCATGATGGTAGTGGCAACCCTTGCGGTAATGTGTGGCTGAACTAACAGTGTCTCCTCAGTTCATGATGATAGTGGCTACCCTTGTAGTTATGAGTGATTAAAGAAACATTGTCTACACAACTCATGATGATAGTGACTACCCTTGCGGTAATGAGTGCCTGAACTAACATTCAGTGGCTACCCTTGCAGTTATGAGTACCTGAACTAACACTCAGTGGCTACCCTTACAGTAATGAGTGGTTGAACTCTCATTCAGTGGCTACCCTTACAGTAATGAGTGGTTGAACTCTCATTCAGTGGCTACCCTTACAGTAATGAGTGGTTGAACTAACATTCAGTGGCTACCCCTGCAGTAATGAGTGGTTGAACTAACATTCAGTGGCTACCCTTGCAGTAATGAGTGCCTGAGCTAACATTCAATGGCTAACCTTGCAGCAATGAGTGCCTGAACTAACATTCAGTGGCTACCCTTACAGTAATGAGTGGTTGAACTAACATTCAGTGGCTACCCCTGCAGTAATGAGTGGTTGAACTAACATTCAGTGGCTACCCCTGCAGTAATGAGTGGTTGAACTAACATTCAGTGGCTACCCCTGCAGTAATGAGTGGTTGAACTAACATTCAGTGGCTACCCTTACAGTAATGAGTGCCTCAACTAACATTCAGATGCTACCCTTACAGTAATGAGTGCCTGAACTAACATTCAGTGGCTACCCTTACAGTAATGAGTGCCTGAGCTAACATTCAATGGCTAACCTTGCAGTAATGAGTGCCTGAACTAACATTCAGTGGCTACCCTTACAGTAATGAGTGGTTGAACTAACATTCAGTGGCTACCCCTGCAGTAATGACTGGTTGAACTAACATTCAGTGGCTACCCCTGCAGTAATGTGTGGTTGAACTAACATTCAGTGGCTATCCCTGCAGTAATGAGTGGTTGAACTAACATTCAGTGGCTACCCTTGCAGTAATAAGTGCCTGAACTAACATTCAGAAGCTACCCTTACAGTAATGAGTGGTTGAACTCTCATTCAGTGGCTACCCTTGCAGTAATGAGTGCCTGAACTAACATTCAGTGGCTACCCTTGCAGTAATGAGTGCCTAAGCTAACATTCAGTGACTACCCTTGCAGTAATGAGTGCCTGAACTAACATTGTCTACAAAACCTATGATGATTCTGACTACCCTTGCAGGAATAGTAGAACGTAGGAAATACACGAGTTTTTTTGTATACTGTTAATCAACATTGTATGCTGTCGGCAGATACATAGAATCATTGGTATAAAGTGTAGTCCCTTTAATTTAAAGCTGAAGTCCCCACAGTACTCGGCCAAAAGATGAGGTTTCCGGATATACGGGGTTTCACTGTATGCAACTAATGCCAGACTTTTCCTTTTGGTTTAAAAATGTCTGGAATAATTGAAATTACAGTCGCGAAATACGCCAAGCCATCTTTTCTCAACCTGAGATAGGACAAGTAATAGCAAAATAGCAAAATAGCAGCTCCGCTCAGCAGTAGGTATTATAGGTTTTCTATCATTTGAATAGCAACTACCGCATGTGACGTACTGTTTTGTTTTGTCACTTGAGTTATTGACGGAGTAATTGTTTGTCAAACGCTGCACACAGATATGTTTAAGTTACAAGACGGCGGCCCATAAATAATAGCCAGACGTATGACCAAACAATCCAGTGATCAGTATTATGAGCATCGACCCAGGGCGACAGTGCGCGATAACATTCAATCAAATAAGTCCCCGAGTTTGACCTTCGTATCCGATCTCCAGCATGGGTTACTGGGGTTTTGTTCAAAGCCGGATGTAGTTTTGAAATCACCAAAGTCAACTGAGAATTGATATTACCAACGTGTTTCGGTGATGTAAAGCAGATTTAAAAGTTTGTGTAATCTCATTTTATAATGTAAATACTATGACTGAACATATAATTGAATTATTCATAAGATAACGTATTCGCTTTGTTATTAAATTTATGATCACATTTTGAGCAAAAAGTAAAGCCCTTTAAATGCCAAATCAGTCTGTATGCAAAGATATTTCGAAAAGTTTGGGAATAAACGAATTTGTCTTGAGACAATAATGCATAATCACATTGTACATGATCGTGTATGAATTGAGGCGACGCAGTAGCCAATTAGCTAATGTGGTGACTCGTCAAGCTGAAGCCCTGGTTTTGATTCCCAAATTGGTAAGTCACTTATGTAAAGCCAATTCGTGGTGCCGTAATAGGACTGGAGGGTTGGTAAAACCTCATTTGGCCGAACTCTGTTGATAATAGAAACAGAATTGGTCCTTAGTACCTCCAGCTTAAGGTAAGAAACGACACAAATAGGGATGCCGTAATATTGCTGATTGCAACGAAGACCAATATTGACTTGGTCACTACTTGGCTTAAAAGATTTTGTAGAATGTGTAGCCTTGTATCCCTATATACAGCCACTAGGTACATCCACTACATCGCAGATGGCATTGCAAAGGCGCTTTCAAAGAAGAAGAATTACATTCAGACACAAAGTGCCTTTAGGCCATAACCGTCATCATTATTTCGAAATTTACTGTACTAAGATGTTACGGGTTGAAGTAATTACCCAAATTGTGTCTCATGCACCATCATCTGTTCGTATCCTAATTCCTTCTTCGAGCCAGAAATCTTCCGAGTTTATGCCAGTAAGATGATGAATACTCCCAATGTGTAATCATTACTGGAAGCTACCAGTCGACGCGGCAAAACCAAATCACAGCACTCTCGTAACACACAGTCGCCAATACACTCTACAATAACGTCTCAAGAGAGATAGCTGTCAGCAGAAATGTAAATATGTTTATTAAATTTTACATGTATACACAGAAACGGGATAAGTAAGAACAGAACAATTCTACATGTGTTCTTCAAATCTAATCGACGTCTTCAACCTTTGCTGGGCACAGTTTCAACATGAATTACAACTGAGTTGTATGGAGGAATAACGTCAAACGGCGTCCGAAGGGACACCCAGTGAGCATAAACTGTCTGATTCCACAGATATACGTTGGATCCAAGGAAGGCTAGAAGCGCTGAAGAACATTGATCCCAAAAAGATTTTTTGGGGTCGTGGCAGGTCCGATATTGGTCGCCAACATGCTGTTAGCTGTGGAAAACACCATCACGCGACAAAGGTTAAGTTGTGGGTCTTGAGACGTGCTCGACGGGCCACAAAACGAGGAAGGTCGATAACGCAATTTTGTTGATAGGTCTCTGTCTGGGTTCCGGTATAGTGACAGGACCAGAGCATTGACATAAACATATGTATTAACTGTTAGTAAAAAAGTAGTCGTGGGATGATACCAAGTCAATATGTATGCTTTTCCCTTGTGTTTACCTACGTTGTTATATGCTTTCGTTTGTCGTTATTCGAATGTGTATGTAGTGTATTAGGCGATTACCTGTCTGAAGATGTGGGCGGGTTCAACTGTAATTTACACCGGTAGCGTTAAGTCTAGAATGATTGATTACGTGAAGTGGGATTTTCTTTAAACTTATCTTCTTACGATGCTAATCTTACGAAATTGTAGACCTGATGACAACAGATCAACCAGCATGATGATTAAGCGTTGGATTTCATCCGCAAGTGTCCATTTGGAGTTTATTTCTGGCTGATCATTAGTTGTAGGTTGTACTCTGGGCATAGACTTCGGGTATTAAGCCCATGGCGGTGGTGAAACCTCGTGTTATTCTGATAAAACTGACTGTGTAAAATGTCATATATGAAGTCGATATTCATAGCACGTTCTCTACAATCAGTGGTACATCTTCATTAACCTACAAACATCCACCTATGCTACGCATCTATGGTCACCATGCCTCTGGGCTAATCCAAAAACGGAAGAAAGAAATGTTCGGCAATAGCCACTGGTCACTGTAGTTCTTTAGCCTTGGGCCAATATATTGACCCATGTCCAGAAAATGGCCAACGGGCAATTAAAAATGTTCTTGGCAATTTGGAATTCTTGATGTCCGACTGGAGACAAGAATGCATCAGTTTGGCCATTGATCAATATAGAGCAGTGAACTAGTGTTGATTGATAACTCCACCAGACACCGCTCCCTCACAGCTACCAGCTATGTTGGAGACGATCGGTGAAAACTGGCAGCAACGTTTATACCTAGTTAGCAACGTTTATACGACGTTGTCGGCGGGCATAATGAAGTTATTGGGGCTCAAGATGTGCTGTAAACGTTATTTTACGTTACGATTCTGTGAGGAGATCAATACTATTTTCACGTAATGGAGTTTGCTTTTGTGGACTTGGAAATATATCTGCCCTTTGGTAAGGTTGAAATGAGGCAACGGATTGACGCGTCTCAGGGAATCTTAACACCCGACCCCTATACGTATACACTGATAAGTAATTGAAATGTAGCTGTTATGAGATAATGCGCTGAACGTATAACATTCTCCTGAGACACCCGCACAAGTGTATGGCACTTTTAATGCAGGGGCTATCTGGGCTAAATATTCATATACATTATTTTGTTGCATTAGACTTTGAAATAAATGAATACACAAAATGTGGACTTACCATGTTGACTTCTGAAATACTGTCAAAACTGGCTATTATTACTGCTATTCCTATGATGAGAGGTGATTCTGAAAGAAAATAAAGAAATAGAAACATTAAGCATATTTATGCAAATACTCAGGAGTTATCGTTTATTTGTAAGGAACCGACCATTTGATATCGGTGTGTTGGGTGTATGTGGGGATGAGGCGGCTGGTATTTTATCGAAAAAATAAACTGTCCCATTTTTTGCTTAAAAAATGTATACTTCAGACAATTGAAAAAAGATTGATAGCTAAAATAATTACATTCTTGTTTAAAAAATATATTGAAGGCTCATAGTTTTACATTACAAAATACCTGGTTTTGTAGCTGTAGGTGAAAAAATATCTAGTCTCAATACAAAATCCTAGGCCCTTCATAATATCATATGGTCGGTCCCTAAACGGCAATGTGTTCATATTGGTATGTCTGTCACACATAAACAAGTAATGCAATATGGACGTGACATATAAAACCTAGGGGCGACAGAGAGTAGTTCCAAAAGAACAGTTCAGAAATGCCACTGACACATACTCTATAATTGAAAGGCAACATTAAGGATATGCACACCGCACATGCTCATATTATCAAGGAAACCTTGGAAATACAATGACATAAGATTCAGAAAATCCTTTTTTATACACTTTTGCTCCAGCGTCCGGTCACAGATCTGTCATAACTTTGTATGTTTTTCATAACAAATCTTTCTATCTTCCCATAATGTCATATTCTTTAAGATCTTAGAAAGTCTCCACATGAGGTTTTATCAAGTGAAGTAAACTGAGTGAGTATGGTTTTACGCCGCTTTTAGCATTATACATTGGCATACATCAGTATTCCTTGCCACACATAACTGACAACCATTGCTGCACATTGCCATACGTTTTCGTGCATCACCATACCTTGTCATACAGCCGTTTTCAAACATATACATATGTGTATAGACATCGAAAACTAATTTGATCATGAGATGTATCTACCAGTTACCAAGATAAATGACAGATGTTACTATTAATCATCATATTGTATGAAGTAGTAGGTATAAAACTAGTCCATTGTTTTGCTTGTTATGCTGGTGCATATTTTGAGAGTCTCTTGCATCTGTTTTGGGATCCTCTTTCATACTGGTCATACATCTACGAACTTGGCGTTTTTTCTTTCAAATGGTGCGATAACTTCCCTATAATAACGTGGATGACAATTTCACAGAATGCATGCAGACTGCAGGGTCGCCAATAGCAGTGCCATTAAATGGTTGCAGTGTGTGAGTGAGTTGGGTTTAACATCGCTTTTAACAGTAGTCCAGTTACATCAGGGCGTGCTAGCTTAATTTTGGAGGAAAGTCCGAAGTGATGCAGGTCTCAGACGTTTACCACGAGCACGGATATGGTGCTGACAAACCTAGAAACATAACCATAGCGAACCGGGATTCGAACCCACAATCATAGGTTTCTGGCGTGCCCAAGGAACGTAACTCAACTCTGCACAGCGGACTGCGGCTACTTAGTATATGGGCCACCCGTACATGATTAGAAGAACCCATGTATATATATATATATTCAATATACACTTTTGCATTGTAAGCAGGTTGTTCATGTATCAAAAGAACACAACCAGTGTTACGAACCAACTTCGATTGACTTTAATGCATCAGCAGACATCAAGTCGTATACATGTTCTTTCAAACCATAGTTAAGCACATTCATATTCAGGAAATGTAATGAAAATGTTTGTGGGTTTCTGAAGATATTCAAGTTTCTGAACAGCACTTAGGTTCTTCAGTTCTCGAAGACCCTCGAAGACATTTCTGGTTTTGGAACACGTAAAACGACGGTTCTATAGAAGCTAAATGATGAAATGTCAGCGAGTGTGTAATATCCCTGTGTGAGAATCGATAGTATTCCAATCAACATTAAACCAGAACCTATTGAAAAAAGATATATGGTATATGAAATAGAGATTTATCAAATTTAGACTCTGAATGACAATTTAATTTTGCTTAGCAATTTGTAAAGGAAATATTTTTTTAGTAAGAAAGAAAGACAGAGGAGATGTTTATTGATGACTACAGTAATGTTTATTTACATTATACTGTTTAAAATATCAATATCAAAGTCAGCGCCGAAGAAATATTCGTAATCGTATCACTGGTATGCATCCATGAGAAAAAGAAAAAGAAAAAGAAAAACGACAATTAAAAAATTCCTTGTATTATTGTAGAATTATAATGATGTCACCGAGTTTCCATGGAATGGGTTCTTCTACAGTGGCGTGATGTCTTTTTTATCCCTTTCTAATCATTTGTACACGAATCCATAATGGCGTTTGCTTAAACATTAATTGTCTGACGTTAAAAAAGATACAAAACATGAAGAAAGCGTTCTGTTCTCTTATGAAATAATCAAATCGTTTATGAAATGAATATAAATCGCTTATATTGTTATAGGAATCAAAGAGGTAATCGATGGTTAACACAAATCTAAATCGACATTTTTTGCACTCGGAGCATATTATTCATTCAAATTCCAAATCAGAGGTGTTGTAAAATTCAGTTCCCGAGTCGAGCCAGTCAAGCTTAGATGGCAGCGACAAGGAAACTGTGTTGTCGTCCAACGACCTAAAACATTAAGAAAATGTTCAAAACACGCCATTCGATGATCAATTCGAACTATGGCGACAGATCGGCCATCAGTACAAGTACAGGACTGTTTCCTCACATTTTAATTCTTAGTGTAACCTTTTCCACCGGCGCGTCTATTAAATTCTACATCTAGAATATAAGCGCTAACGATAGCCAGTATTCGTATGCCAACGGAAGTGTCTTGAAAATATCCATGTCCTCGACATAACCGAACACCATATTCTACCTTAAAGAATTCTACCTAATGAGAGTTTCATAGCGGCGGGCGAATTCTATGAGAAAGCCCATAGTTTCTGCGTCTGGATCTTGGAACATTTGCTATATAACCCCTAAGCCTTTAGTCAGTCGATGCCAACGGGCAGTTCCTGATAGTGCCAACCTCTTAGAAAGGATTAACGTTGGTTTCATTTAATTCGTGGCAGAAGCTATGGTACTACTGTAGAGACATCATTGAAATGTCGTCTAGACATATACGTATATTTACATTCAATTTGAGACGGATGTGACAGCGAGACATTTGAAGGTAAATGAATCTGTTTCTTGCAATATGATAGACAACCGTTTTAGTCCAGGTCTCTGTCAACGTGTTCTCTTGGGGACAGAACCGTGCCAGACCGACGACTAACTCCGCTCACATAACGTAGGTTCACGACTGTGCTGCAGATGTAGGTGTCGAATGGATTTTACTTCTGAACTCTTAACATTTTGGTGTCTACATCCTAGAGACCGAGTGTCTTATTCTCGTAATGGTATTTAGGGATGGATGGGGGTGGGAGACTGAGGGGAGTTAACGAGATTGGTTTCTTTCTGTCAATTTGTTTCTGCAAGACACGCATCTTTTGAAGCTGATCATTAGCGACGGATGCGCTATTTCATATTTATTTGGGGTTGAAAAACTGCTGACATCTGACAATGTATTTATTTAATAACATATTCCGATTTTTTGTCAGTTGATGATTGGCGCCTGAGAAATATATATTAGTCTTTTGTAGATAAGTCAGCATGTGACATTGGCATCGGAGCCACAACGTTATCTTGTACCATAGGGAGGGTCCACTAGCACAAGGAAATCTACTATACGTCTATGTTAGATCACAAGAGGTATAAGAGTGGCCGTGCTGTGATCACTTAAAAACCCCAACAACTATCCACATGACTGTATGACAAGGGGGATGACTTCAACTTCCCAATAGTGTTCCCTTTATGTCGAGCAATATTCCAGAAGCACCAGCCTTTGGTGTCAAAAATCTTGACGTACAATCAAGCATGCTCTTTCTTCGAACATTTCAAAGAGTGTCAAAATGTTTGACCATGGTCAGAACATTAAAGGCCGCAAGGAAGCTTCAAAAATGAGTTTTGGACAAATGTTCCCCTTTCAGGTGAATAATTGATTTGCTTTTGCATGTGTTTGTGACGGGTGTCACTGGTGGAGGAGGATACGGTCACCGTTTTGCTAACGCCTAGTATCATCACCCTTTGGTAGTGATTCATAAACCCATACTCATCATATAGTCGGAATCGTACAATGGTCTCTGTTAGCAGAGATTTCTTATTGTCATGGAATGGGTTTTGTCGCTTTTATTATCATTATGCAAGCAGGACACGTACATGTTTTTATGACAACTTGGGATGATCCTGTATACGATGAAATATATCTTCTCGCAATCACAATGCCATTCACGATTATTTACAAACCCTGATAACAATCTTACACTATGGCTATACGTCCAGAGTACAATGTATTGTCTAAAAATGTTTCCAAGGAAAGTTAGTGAAAGATGTATAAAGTCGTCTCCACTAAGCTCGTTTGTGATATTTAGCACGTGACGTCACCGGGTGAGTGAGTGAGTATGTGCGTGCGTGCGTGAGTGAGTGAGTGAGTGAGTGAGTGAGTGAGTGAAAGAATTAATGAGTGACGCATTCTCTTTCTTACTTAAGTAACAGTCAAAAACAAGAAAAATACGCACGTGACGACCACATCGCTCAAAAAAATATATGATGAACAGTATATCGGGATATTATTACATTACGTGATCAAACAGTGAGCTCTCGTGGAGCTCTATCTTCTAGTTGTACTTCAATTCAAGATAGTGACATGAAAACGTAAGGAAAAGACTTACAGTGCGATTAACCTTGTATATTGCTCACAGGTGTGTATTTACACACAAAGCTATGGTCATTCCATAAAAACGACAATGAAAACTAGTATTCATGCGGTTGTTTATTGCAAGATATTAATATGGTAGGGTTTTATTACCACAATAAATCTATAGTATTCCTTTGATATTGATACGGAGAGAGGCTTTGTATTACAGAAACTGCATTCGTGTCTGTTATTTTCTGATATACACAAGCTATGAAGCAGGTTGGCGTGTGATATTATTGCATACATAGTACACACATATA